TTAAATTTTAATATACAATACATATATAAGTTTTTTCATTTTGAATAGTGGCCGGATAATTTTGATCGCCCTCTGTAGTTTGAAACGTTCAATCTTTGTTGAAGAGCTATGCTTAGCTTGTAAGTAAATTGTTAATTTGATATATCTAATGAGATAAAGATTAACATAAATAAAATGATCGCTATTTAAAAAAGTTTTTTGCACATAATTTGTCCATAAATGCTTTATGAGAAGCCTAACGTTGGCATAGGTATTAAAGGTAGAACTCCAAAAAGAGGAAAAATTGGGATCAAACTTATTTTTGTAATTTTGGTTTGCTTTGTGACAAGTTTCAATAAGACTGATAAAATCCATATCGAAATCTAGAAAGTATCTTTGATTAATTCATTTTTCAAGTCACATTGTAAAAAGTGAACATTATGGGTAGCAAAAGAGATGGTGGGTGATCTATTTGTGCTAGTATTGTCATTGTTATAGGTGTCTAAATGATGTGAAGAAGTAATATTATTATTATTATTAATCATGATAAAAGTTAAAGAAAAGGGTGGCAATTATTGGAACAGTTTCTCAGTAAGAGATTGAAGTTGTGCTATCATGACATTTATTTGATCTTGCTGGGCCTTAAAATTGAATTTTGTTCTTCAATGGTATTCTGAAGTTTTAGATTGATGATCATAATAGAAGTTTGGTTACCAGTAACAACTACTCCTAACATACTAGTTTCTAATCTTAGACGCATCAAGAACCAAAAAGGTATGATACTTAGACAAAATTCCCATAAAAGAAGCGGTTATATACGAATGGGATTAAAAATCAATAATGTTTATAAAACTGTCTATGTTCATATTTAGTTGCACACGCATTTATCCCTAACCCAGAGAATAAACCCCATGTTAATCATATTAATGGTATCAAACATGATAATCGAGCTGATAATTTGGAATGGATAACTCCTAAAGAGAATGCTTTACGTAGGATATTCCCAAATCATGATCGTATCGGATCTGAAAAATTGTGTAGAAAACGTTAAATGGAAGTATTGTTCAGATTTGATGGCTGACGCTGGATGTATGATGAAGATCACATAGAACCTGAGAATAGAGATAAATAGAACTTGATTCACGAAAATTCAGAGTTTCATCTCTCGGAAGAATTCAGTTAACAAATGGTGAAATCACTCAAGGTTCATTGCATGTAGGTTATCGAAAAATCGCTTGAGAAGGATATCTTATTCATCATTTGGTGGCATTAGCATTTTGTCCTAAAGAAGAAGGAAAAGAATATGTAAATCATATTGATGATGACTCTACTAATAATAATGCATCTAATCTTGAATGGTGCACATTAAAAGAAAACATTCAACACGCTGTACGTCTTGGGCTTCATAACTTCAAAGATAGTAATAGATACCAACGTCCTATTAGGCAGATTTTTGATGATAGTTCTACTCAAGAATTTCCATCCATAGCTGAAGCGTAACGTACAACTGGAATTAACCAGTCAAATATCGGTGTAGTATGTCGAGGACTCTGAGCTTATGCTGGAGGATATCGTTGGGAATATATGAGATGCAATGACACATAGTAAACTTTAAATTATTCAATTAATGTGTATACAGACCAATTTATCATTGCGTTATCTCCCTTGCGAATCACGGCGATTGGTATTCCCCATAATCCTCATGTGGAAAATAGTTTATCATGGATGTCCTCACAGAGGTAACCACAAAAGAGAAAGAATTTTTTGTAGGTATAGTATTATTATAATGACGGAAAAAAATGCCAAGAGATTTCAGCGAACATTGTTCGCCAAAATTTACCAATAAAAATTCATGTGTACATAAATCCCGTGATAAATACTTAGATAATTCTTCTTTATACTAATGTCTGTGGACCACGTTTATCTATCCCAATCCATGATCCAGTTTCATCAATAAAATAAAAATGGTTGTATATGAAGTCATAAAAAATAACAGCATCAACCTTAACAGCTCCACAGAATTTTATATTGTTTGTCTTCATGACGCTAATATTATGGTACTTGAAAAATTGTCTATTAACTTATGTAAATGCATATGCAAATTTGTTGTACGTTGGAAAAAAAGCCACCCAGTATAATGATCACTGCGTAATCATGAGACCAAGAATTATTCCAGGAACTCCAACAATGTGTCGTAGAATATTATATGCTAGCAGGCATTTTTATTATTTTCCCAATTATTATACAAAATAAATAATGTACACATATTTTAACCTTTAAGTTCTCAACCTTCAGGTCCATTCAGCCTTTGAGCCTCCTCTAGCAACCACACAATATCACTAAGAACATTTTTTACCCGATCCTCCATATCTTCATCCCCATATACAATAACCATCAGTTTCGATAGTTTAAACTTAGGCTTTCCCTCGTCATCCAATGAACATTCCATAAAAAAAACACTTCTCAGAATCAGTTATGATACCAAAATCCTTTTTTTGTTATTTGATAATGCTGATTCACACTGCAGGTCAGGTTCGATTCCTGAGTTGTTTGACGTTATGGGTATCAAAGTCACCTGGTTGATGTGGTCTATATACATAACTGGAGATCCCCATTTGGAAAAATCTTGTGATACTATCCCATGAACCCTATGGCTCTCTATATAGTAGTGATAAAGCCAAACCAAATAATTGGATCTTGGTTATAGTTATTGCATTCTGAGCAATGCCTTGTGAAAAATCCTTATCTTTGACCTCGGCAATACCAATTATCCTAGAAGTCCGAACTAGAACTAAAGCAAAATCTACAGGTCCATGACCATTTGGACCTGAGACATTCTTTTCTGGACAAACTTTGAACTTATTCCCAAAAAGATTGGTAACGGCTACAAGATATGCATAAATATACTGACTTTTAGATGCTTCATTTCCAATAGGGATAGCCTTGAGACGAAAATTCAAATCAGTCATAAGATGCTTGATTATCACTTGTGACCTTTCATCATTCAATTCTACACATTCATAAGTAAAAGAGGAAACACAGATAATGATGGATCACTATCTTCACTAAGCTGATAGAGCTGACACACTTTTTGAAAGGTCCAGAGAGAAAAGACAAAGTTGTCTCTATAAATACAGTGAATTTGAGGCTACTTTTTGACACAAATAACTGGAGCATATTTCGAAACTCCAAGTCACCTTGAGGGATGTATTTTTCACCATTGTTTACAACAGGATTGGCAAAAGACCTTGAAATGATCTCAAATGACCTCAAATGACCTTATTGTTATTATAAATTTAAAGTCAAAATACCTTATAATTTGCCATCACTGGTTTACAAAGGAAAGCATTACACCATCTTTCTCAAGTTCTAGGGTTTGATACATAGCATATATAGATTCCCTAAGGTCTTCAAGGTTCACTTGATCTATATTTGCAATCCACTTGAATGCCTTTATGCGTTTCAGATTAACTATGACATCGAATTCTATAATCACAACAACTATATTAATATAATTTTGATTACAAACTCCTCTCAACACAACCAACATACCATATGTAGACTTCTTGAGTAGCCTCTGTAGTTCCGCTATCTTATTTATCAATTCCAACTCTCGTCTGGTTTTAGTAGTTTCTGGCAAAGATACAATGATATAAATATGTTCATTGGGAGGAGCTTTGGTGAAGTACTTACTTATTTTCCTTGTTGCAAGAAGTTCATTGCTGTCATAGAGTTGAAGATTAATAAACTCATCATAACAATAATCAGGAATTTCAACCTGCCAGAGTTTGAGTCGGTCAGGATCAATGCCAGCAAAATCATTATGCTTTGCTGTTTTGATTAATCTCTTAAGCTTACTAATAGTTTCACTCCTACTAATATTGATAGCAAAGGCATTGTGCACATTTTCTTAGACTATGCAAAAAAGAGTTATAGTAGATCAGCACTTTTTTGGTCGTGCCTCAAGATTTTCCTTTTCTTCAAGTTTTCGTTTTACAGAATTCTTCTATACAACCATCACGCAAGTTTCATGATTTATTCACTAACCTTATTTTGTTCTGTGATTACCCCTCTCCAGTAGCTTTCCAATTCTTTTGCATAACGTGACCATTCCTTGATTACCTGTTGTAAGAGAGATTATTAGCAGTGCAAAATAATTTTTTATTTAGTGGTAAAAGGAGGTACATAGCCGACAACAAAGTTCAGGTGCCTGAATTGAGAGCTTGGGATGGATACCAAGTGTGTCAACCCAGTAATTCTCCTAAGTCAGAACGGATTCTCCTCAGAGTTACCCTTCCTTTGCAAAATAAAAAAAAATGCACCCTTTCTTTCAAATCATTGAAAGAACTCTTATCCAGCTTCTCTGCTTCTTTTAGAAAATTTAATGCCCAAAAATCATCAAGGTAGAGCTAGTCATTTGAAAATGGTGATGAGACAATGACTTCTTCACGACAAAGATCTAAAAAACCTTGATATGACTGCTTTGAATACATTTTTAGATAAAAGACAACGACTAAGAAAAAAAAAAGATTAGAAAATATTTTTATACCATGCTAAATTGCTATTCGCAAGATTTACCAGAACAAACAGGATGTTTTTCGGAAGTGCTCATTGTCATGTAACTTGCAAGAAATCGTGTTATTTTACAAAAGAAAATAAGTTTGTATAGGGTCTTATATACAAATATTACTTATAGGCAATATAACTAGTCAGTCCCAGTCCAATTACATGGAAAATGAAAATAAGAGAAATACTATATACTGTACACGTAGCGATGTAGCATGTTGAATGTATCAGTTACTGGACATGTCACATGTCGATCATAGCAAATGACATTGATATAGATGTCGATCATTTGATCGACAAAATTTTATATGATTTTATGTCTTTTTTTTTACTTTGTGATATGTAAATTGTGTTACATTTCTAACATTATTTTTGGAATAAAAACACACTTTAAGTACAAATATAAGATTTTTAATTGGTATATGACTACTATTAATTACTCTTATTGTATATGAAATATCAGCTTTTCTTTTAAATTTCTTTGAAATATTACTAAATTGAGCATAATTATCAGAAAACCTATAATAAATTATAATAATCTATATTTGATTATTAATTTAATAAAACTTTAATTATACTAAAGTTTTTACCTAATTGTTGAAGAAAGAAAATAACTTTTAATTGCATATAAAACTAATTTGATAATATAATAAATAGTTGATTATCCTAATGTAAATAATTGTTTAAGTATTTGATAGCTCTGATTAGTAGCTAAAAATTATAAAATTAGTAAAACTTTATGTTTAATTAAAATTCTTAAAGCATCTCTTGAATTGTTTCTTTACAATAATATAGGTCTATTTCAATACATAGCTATTCAAATGTAATTTGTGTTATTCTAAAATGACATCTAAATTCTATATTTTCCTTAACTATTATAAATATTATTAACCAAAACTATGTACTTTTCTTGCTTGCTTATGAACTATTCTTAAAGAATTATTCCTTTCAATCATGCTTATACATTTATGAAAAAATGATAAATCAAGATTATTTCTTTACAAGGTGAATTATTTTGGTCTAAAATATTAAATATATAATTGGAAGACTTAATTGAATATTTATTTTTAGGTCTAAACTAAATTGTATTAAGATATTTGATACAAAAATCAAAATCTATCTTCTTATTTGTGAATACAAATTGGATTTTATGAGAATCTAATCTGATCTAAATAAATCAGCAATCTAATACAAATCCAATTGAAATGAATTTGTGAACACACCTATTATATCATAAAATAATAAAATAAAATATTGAATTTTTTTATATTATATAACATTTATTATCAATTAATTTAAAGTAGTGATACCTGATTAAACTCTTTTTTGAAAAATAGTAATTTCGTCAAAAGTTTCGTCTCTTTAATATTTTTATATGAATAAATATAAAATTATTATATTTTTTAATATATTTTAATTCAAGGAATTTAGATCAAGTTAAATATAATTTCGGCAATTTCAGCAATTAAGTAAAATAATTTCGTCATTAATAAAAAACTAGTTTTGTTATTTCAGTTTCGTCAATTTCATCATATTAAGAAAGGTAATTTCGTTAGATATCACTAATTTAAAAGTAATAAAAAAATATGTAATAGATTTTTCAAATAAAATCTATTGATATTGTTAATTAAAATAACTTTCGACGTAATGATTACATTTCGATGAAAATATAATCATTAGAACTGTCTTATCGAGAGCTTTCTAACAAATATAAATTCAAAATTATTAAACTAATAGAAGTAAAGTCAATTCAGAAAGAGTGATTACTATTATAACTTTATAGATCATTACTAAAGAAAATTATAATTTCTTAAACTGCAGCCCAATGATCAAAATGACTGAAATAATAGAAATAATAATAATATTGATAACTAAGTTTATATAGTTATTTAAGTTTAATAAGTTTTTTTTGTTTACTTAATTGAATTGGTTAAATAAATTAACATAATTAATAAAATTTACAATGTTTCTTTGTTTTTATAGTTTTACTTTATCTTTAATTAGTAATAGAAATAGTTCAAATATTTTATATAAATAGGATAGAAAATTACTGTAATTAAAAGGTCAATAAAATTTGAAATTAGTTAGGTTTATAGTTAATAGTTAGTTAATTAGAGATGTAATTGCGAAATTTATATTCTGGTAAATTTATAAACAAAAATTTATTTAGTTTATTAAATTGTATTGATCTAGTTATATTTTATTAATAAACCAAATATTATCTTTATAATATTGATCAGTTAAACTCATGACCTAAAACCCAATTCATTATTATTACTTTTCTATAATATTTGAAGTATTTTAATTATTTCTAATTTATATTTATATATCCTCAACATTCTCTATACTTATAAATTAATATATTATTAATTCAATGGTTTTATTAATGTAAACAAGTTTTAAGATTATTAAGTTAGATCATTATCCTTCAAATATCTATAATCTTGTTATATGTATTAAAGTCTATTTTTCAGTTGGTAGACTTTACAATCAACTTATATAACAATATACAGTTTTTTTACATTAATATGTTATTTGTTTTTTTTTACATTTGGATAAAAAAAGATCTTGAGATCTTTATCCTAATAAAACTTATATGACATCTTAAAATTTAAGGTTGTATTAATTAATATATGTATTTTAAAATACATTTTACTAAGTTATATAATTCTAAAGTATTTATAAAGTCTACTAATATTTTTTCTTCTAATATTTTTCTTTTTTTCTTCTTTATTTTTTATTATCTAATATTTTATTATCTAATAATTGATTATTTATTTATTATCTTTTTCTATAAGATTTACATATAATTATATTTATTATTTTATTCTTTAAATATTTGATGAAATTATATTTATATATAACATTTTTTTTTATCTAAATACTAATATATATTTAGCTTTTATAGCCTTAATAGTAAAAGATTAATTTTCTATTTTGGTAAATTATATACTGATCAATTGTGTACCAATCAAAATCAGATATTTCGCGTTGATCATCAATTAATTTTTTCGCGTCTCCTCTACTGAAAATACCTTTTACATTATGTTCCAAAGTGGTTAGCCTTTTATTTATTTATATTTCTCAAGGATCAATAAAATTCTATTAAAAACTATTACAACTAACTAATATAAAAGTATTCCGACGTAACGAAAAGGACATCACGCAATGATTTAGACAGTGAAGTGAGAAAGCTTACGAACAAAAGAATATTATATGGGAGCGTTTCCAGTAAAATCACATTACGAATTATATGATTTACTATGGCTTATGACTTGATTTTACTGGAAATGTTCCCATATGACACCGGCGTTGTGGCGTAAATTAAAGTTAGTGTTTTACGCGTAATAAGCATAGTGACTGTGCTACGCCCTGTCCCTTTGAGCATGGGGAAGAAGAGCATCCAGGCATTAGAGCTTCTGAGACGTGCACATCTTGCTATATAAGGACTGCTGATTCTGGAGGAGGAATCATATGCATCTTCCTTATGATGAATCGTTACTCACACACTGCTCTTCACAGAATATTATAGGAGATAAGGAAAGCGTGTCGCTCAAAAGAGATATTGTCAAAATTTGTGAAAAGCAACGATCTCATAAATATAAGAACGAACTTATCAAGAATATAAAGCCAAAAAAAATGAGGTATGAGGATAAAACTTTGATTCCTTATTTTTTATTTCATTTCTCACAGTCAATTATTTGATATATTACACAAAAATTTCGTGAATATCAGCAAAATGCTCTCGAAAAAACTTAATTCAACTATATTAACTTGGCATAACACATATGAAATTTTTAAGTGATGGATTTGCAAGTTGAAACATCGCAATTATTATACTCACATCTAAATATCATCTCTCGTTCAACTTTAAATCAGTCCTGTCCGTATTCAAACTTCACTAGTGAAGAGTGGCTGATAATAATTAAAACGAATCCATATGCAATCGATGAACCAGTTTTATCAGCTTCAATTTCAAATGTTTTGCATGAAGCTGTGATCAAGCGTTTGTCAGGCCAAGACAGTTTCATGCATCCAGATGAAACTCCAATGAGCAGAGCATCTTAACGAACCTTCAATGAGTTGTAAGTTTTCATTAATTATTTGTTTTAATAGATTTCATTTAACGAATTTCATTTGACATATTAAGACGAGAAAATGTGCTCGATATCGATGTCTGAACTAGAACATTGCTCACAATTCCTATTTTCTTCACAAGAAATAAGATCGCTCTGTTAAAGATACAAAACAAAGGCCCTGTGGATGATTATCTCTGTGAACCTTTAAATTTAAATGTAATATAGATTACTATTGTTTATTTTATTCATTAATTAATTTTTACATTATTTAAAAGATATATCTTGTTTGTGTAAGATGATAATCCTTAAAAAAAAAACTTCTGTAAAATGTGTAGCAAAGTTGTATGATTTAAACCCAGAACTAGCATTGAAAATGGATTTGTTATTGTGTCGCAAATGTGAATCATATGGTATATATGGGGTGAATGCTGGGAAAGGGACCAAATTGTAAAAAAAACTTTTTTAAAGTTCTGGATCAAATATACAGATGATATCCATAACTTGAAAAAAAAAAATTTGCTTTTTTTATTAAAACGGTTATTATAAAAAAATTTTCTGAAGACATTTTGATAAAAATTAATATAAAATGAAAATAAATTTTTTAAATTGCAATAAATTATTTATACTTTTCCTTTTTTTATTTAATAGAGATATACTTCCTAACCAAAAGTTTAGGACCACCCAGGATCTGCAAAATAATCTGCGTTTAATATACATTTATGAATATTTTTTGTAATTAAAAAAAAGCTAGAATTTGTGTTACATGATAATCAATAAATAAATTATCAAGATTTATCTTTTTTTTTCTTTTGTTCTGTATTTTATGAAAATGGTTAAAAAAAAGAGCTATCAGATTTTGAACGTAGGAGAATTATCAGGTTTTATGAAGCTAGTAGTTCAGAAAGAACTATATCACAACAAACAGGATATGCCAAGACCACTATCTATAATATTATAGCAAAATACC